GAAACGTTGCTATCAGAAACAATGCCCGACTGTTTTGGACGTAATATGGTCGGTGTTTACATTAGCATCGCTAACACTCAGAGCTAACCTGTACTGGAGAGCATGTGTGTGAAGAAGCAGGAAATAAAAAGGAACTCACCTTGTGGTATAACAAGAGAGAAAGCCTTTGAGCTCCATACTGTTTCAGAGAGAATCCTTGATAATCCATGATATGGTGTTTCATCACGGCAGCATTTAGTTTAGACAGTAGCTGCCGGGTCCCGCATGAGCTCAGACCCCTCCTTTTTGATTTTATCAACATTTAAAAAAAAAAAAAAGCTTTATACCCCAAATCATCACTTTTGAAACAGGAAGTGAAATAGAGGGATATGAGGCATGGCTAGAATGGGGGACCTGTTTGGTATTTTGAGCAAAACACTTCATAGACATGTTTTTTATGTATTCTTATATATCTGAGACCTATGCTATTGCCTAAAAATAGCATGATAGGTGACCTTTAACAGTTATTCTCTATGTGCTAACGAGGCTAACGCTAACTCCTGCTGATTTTAGTCATGTGTTTCCTTTCCGCTGCTCTGAGAGAAGACATGGAAACAACAGGAAGTGTTGAGTTCAAAGACAGGAAGCAGATCAAAGAGAGGAGCGCTTTAATTAACTGCAGACGGCCTCGTTGCTTCCTCTCTCCACGATACCCTCACTCTCCTTTTTAAACCTGGAAGAAGTTTTACTACAACCACGTTTCCTTAAATCAGACAATCACCTCTCAGAGGGGCGGGGCCAGCAGCAGCTCATTAGCATTTAAAGCTACAGACACGGAGAAATCTGGAGAATTGTATTTATTTATTTTATAATATTTAAAGAAAAGTCATAATATTACAAAAGAAAAAGGTTGAAATGTTAAAAAAGGAAAGTTAAATGCTAGTTAAATGTTATCAACATATTTCTCTCCTCACCTGAGTTCCTGTGAAGTTCACCATAGAGTCCATGTTGATGCCGTTAAAGATGTTCACCTGAAACACAACACAGGAAGTCAGCCCAGTGTGTGTGTGTGTGTGTGTGTGTGTGTGTGTGTGAGAGTGTGTGTGTGTGTTTCTGTGTGTGTGTGTGAGTGTGAGTGTGAGTGTGTGTGTGTGTGTGTGTGTGAGTGTGTGTGTGTGTTTCTGTGTGTGTGTGTGAGTGTGTGTGTGTGTGTGTGTGTGCGTGCGTGTGTGTGTGTGTGTGTGTAACACTTACATAACCCAGCGCCTTGTCTCCTCGTGGAACTCCGGTCACGTAATCTGAAGAGAGGAAAATAAAACTAAAGATGAAACTCATTTGACTTATTTTAAGCATTTATATATTTATCTTTGATTAATGATTTTATGCAAAGCGTCTTTGAGGATTAGGAAAAGCGTTATAAATATCCCATGTGTTATTATTATTATTAATAATGTAAAGGGTTATAAAATGCCTGAAAATTATAAAAAAGTCAGTTAATTTATTAGCGTTTTGTATTCGCAGCGTCATCACGCGTCTCAACCAATGAGAGCATAGAGGCGGGCCTAAGACTGCTAACCCTAACCCTGACTCGCCAAGAGCTGCTTTATTGGACTGATGTTAATGAATTAATCAGCATCTCTTACAAAAGTCCTCATACACTTTAATATCTAAAAAGGATGAATGTGTGTTTACCTTCTTTTCCATCATCGTTGAAGTCTCCCACAGTCACGGAGTATCCTGAGAGCAGAGAGAAAGATCAGGAACACTAATAAAACCTCTGTGTGTGTGTGTGTGTGTGTGTGTGTGTGTGTGTGTGTGTGTGTGTGTGTGTGTGTGTGTGTGTGTGTGTGTGTGTGTGTACCTAGGTAACTGTCGTCGTACTGGGCGCTGGCTGACTTGGTGGCCAGAGTGTTTCCGTACGGAGTGACGAATTCAGTTTTACTGAAGCGAGTGAAAATCTCAGAGACGTCGTCTGAAATCAGCTGACCTGCAGAGAGAGGAGGAGGAGGAGGAGGAGGAGGAGGAGGAGGAGGAGGAGGAGGAGGAAAAACATCAGAAAAGTATTTAGTTTTGCAGCATGAACACTTTTGGTTTACAGAAACACACAGCATGTAATTAAAGGAGCCAGTGTGTAACAGGAAACAGAAATTAGGCACCACGGTATGTGACAACATGTGTGTGAGACTGACTCAGGATTTTCTCTCTCTCTCTCTCTCTCTCTCTCACCCTGCCAGTAGAAGCTGCCCGGTCCTCCCACCACGACTCTGTTGTTTTTCTGAAAACACAAAACAGACTCACATCTTACTCAGAGACTTTACTTCAGTTCAAGTATTAATACACAGAGTACATATTTAAGTATTAATACACACTAGCGCAGTATTTTACCTTCAGGAAGTCGACGCTGAAGCCGGCCTGACAGAAGCCCTGACCTTCAGGAGAGATAGCATCTGGACAGAGAAATAACACATTAAATCATATATCATTTAAAGTGTGTTAATTATTATTAAAGAGTCCTCTCCTGCTGATGTTCAGGTGTATATCAGTATGTAGTGTCTCTACTTTAAAGAGTCCTCTCCTGCTGATGTTCAGGTGTATATCAGTATGTAGTGTCTCTACTTTAAAGAGTCCTCTCCTGCTGATGTTCAGGTGTATATCAGTATGTAGTGTCTCTACTTTAAAGAGTCCTCTCCTGCTGATGTTCAGGTGTATATCAGTATGTAGTGTCTCTACTTTAAAGAGTCCTCTCCTGCTGATGTTCAGGTGTATATCAGCATGTAGTGTCTCTACTTTAAAGAGTCCTCTCCTGCTGATGTTCAGGTGTATATCAGTATGTAGTGTCTCTACTTTAAAGAGTCCTCTCCTGCTGATGTTCAGGTGTATATCAGTATGTAGTGTCTCTACTTTAAAGAGTCCTCTCCTGCTGATGTTCAGGTGTATATCAGTATGTAGTGTCTCTACTTTAAAGAGTCCTCTCCTGCTGATGTTCAGGTGTATATCAGTATGTAGTGTCTCTACTTTAAAGAGTCCTCTCCTGCTGATGTTCAGGTGTATATCAGTATGTAGTGTCTCTACTTTAAAGAGTCCTCTCCTGCTGATGTTCAGGTGTATATCAGTATGTAGTGTCTCTACTTTAAAGAGTCCTCTCCTGCTGATGTTCAGGTGTATATCAGTATGTAGTGTCTCTACTTTAAAGAGTCCTCTCCTGCTGATGTTCAGGTGTATATCAGTATGTAGTGTCTCTACTTTAAAGAGTCCTCTCCTGCTGATGTTCAGGTGTATATCAGTATGTAGTGTCTCTACTTTAAAGAGTCCTCTCCTGCTGATGTTCAGGTGTATATCAGTATGTAGTGTCTCTACTTTAAAGAGTCCTCTCCTGCTGATGTTCAGGTGTATATCAGCATGTAGTGTCTCTACTTTAAAGAGTCCTCTCCTGCTGATGTTCAGGTGTATATCAGTATGTAGTGTCTCTACTTTAAAGAGTCCTCTCCTGCTGATGTTCAGGTGTATATCAGTATGTAGTGTCTCTACTTTTAAAGAGTCCTCTCCTGCTGATGTTCAGGTGTATATCAGTATGTAGTGTCTCTACTTTAAAGAGTCCTCTCCTGCTGATGTTCAGGTGTATATCAGTATGTAGTGTCTCTACTTTAAAGAGTCCTCTCCTGCTGATGTTCAGGTGTATATCAGTATGTAGTGTCTCTACTTTAAAGAGTCCTCTCCTGCTGATGTTCAGGTGTATATCAGTATGTAGTGTCTCTACTTTAAAGAGTCCTCTCCTGCTGATGTTCAGGTGTATATCAGTATGTAGTGTCTCTACTTTAAAGAGTCCTCTCCTGCTGATGTTCAGGTGTATATGATCAGAATATATTAGAGATGTTACTGGATCTGCAGGGCGAGTATTCCACCACCGTCGCTCCCTTCTTCAGGAAACACGTTCCCACCGGCTCCCGCTCGGCTCCCCCGAACGTGGACCACTGATAGAGAGGAGCACATGCCTGACACACACACACACACACACACACACACACACACACACACACACACACACACACACACACACACACACACACACACACACACACACACACACACACACACACACACACACACACACACACACACACACACACACACACACACACACACACACACACACACACACACACACACACACACACACACACACACACACACACACACACACACACACACACACACACACACACACACACACACACACACACACACACACACACACACACACACACACACACACACACACACACACACACACACACACAATTATAGCTCAATGAAATCAACATAACAGCAAAATCATCACGTTACACTAAACAACAAAGATGCCAACATTTCTATTGGTGTGTGTGTGTGTGTGTGTGTGTGTGTGTGTGTGTGTGTGTGTGTATGTGTGTGTGTTAGTGTGTGTATGTGTGTTAGTGTGTGTATGTGTGTGTGTGTGTGTGTATGTGTGTTAGTGTGTGTGTGTGTGTGTGTGTGTTAGTGTGTGTGTTTGTGTATGTGTGTTAGTGTGTGTATGTGTGTGTGTGTTAGTGTGTGTGTTTGTGTATGTGTGTTAGTGTGTGTGTTAGTGTGTGTGTTAGTGTGTGTGTTAGTGTGTGTGTGTGTTTCTCACCAGGATGTGTTCTCCGTCAGATCGTACCGACGCTCCGAACCACTGTTTAGATTTAAACTCCATCTGAACTCCATCTGTATTCTCCCTGTCATCTGCAAACACACAGAGAATAGAATGATTAATTAACTTAAAGGGCCCATGTCATGCTTTTCCGGTTATTACCCGTCCCCTTGTGTGTTATGAAGGTTTTTATGCATGTAAACGGTGTGCAGAGTCAAAACCCTCAAAGTACACCCTGTAGCGAGTAAAACTCTAACACAGAAAATACCTCCCCAAAACGCCTCGTTGGAGATACGTCATTGTCCATTTGAGTCTTCCATTTCGTTCCGGGTACGGCATGATATCATGCCGTACCCGGAACGAAATGGACCAATCCGTGGAGCCGTTACGTTACGTGACAGCAAACAGAGATCAGACCTGGTTAAACTCAGACGGTGAACAAATGTCAGGATTTCCTCCAGGTGGGGAAACTCCTGATGACAAACGCTGACGAGCTGCCAGATCACTACGGAGCTCATCTCCTGACGCTGACGAGCTGCCGGATCACTACGGAGCTCATCTCCTGACGCTGACGAGCTGCCGGATCACTACGGAGCTCATCTCCTGACGCTGACGAGCTGCCGGATCACTACGGAGCTCATCTCCCGACGCTGACGAGCTGCCGGATCACTACGGAGCTCATCTCCCGACGCTGACGAGCTGCCGGATCACTACGGAGCTCATCTCCCGACGCTGACGAGCTGCCGGATCACTACGGAGCTCATCTCCCGACGCTGACGAGCTGCCGGATCACTACGGAGCTCATCTCCTGACCAAACTCCACAAACAGGTTTTAAAGACGCCCTGTGATGTTGCGTGTTGTTTGCAGATACAAAACACCATCTACAAGCTGATGCATTTTGGTTTGCAGATAAAAAATGTACCTATCAAACGAACCCATGTTGCTAATGAATCATGTCTCAGAAACAAATACAGCACAGGTCTTACAAGTACACAACAATATAAAAGTACTAACACCACACGGCAAAGATACTCTATCACTTTCTGCCAGTAGACGAGAGCAACGCTGACGTCACTTCCGGGCGAAATGACGGCCCAACAAAGCGGAAAACAATAGTTTAAATGTGTGTAAAAATGTCTAGAAAGATGTCCTGAATATTTGGGAAGGGTTGCAGAAAATATATCCAAAACAAATGTTAAAAGTGTCAGAAGAATTACCCGAAACATTAGTGAACAAATACGCGTAAAGATCCTAAAAAATGACCTCCTTCAAGATAAAAAACCTCCACGATTCTATTCAATCTGGGATCGGATTTTTGCAAAAACGTCCATATCTCCATACAATAACACAAGGGGAAGCACACAGAGCAGCATACTGTATAGTGAGGCTGTGGCTCAGTGGATTAGTGCGCTGATCTTCGAATCAGAGGATAGCAAGTTCGAATCCCACTGCAGTCAGCATGTCGTTGTGTCCCTGAGACACTTCACCCCAAAGTGCTCCTGTGGGGATTGCCCACAGTATTGAGTATGTAAGTCGCTTTGGATAAAAGCGTCTAACAAGTGTAATGTAATGTAATGTATAATTACAACATGAATCCAATTTCAGTATTAATCAATCCTGCTTTTCTGTTTGATTTCTTTATATACAAGTTTAAAAGTGACATCCGAAGGCCTTCACTGACCGCTGGCCTGACGACACAACTGAGCAGCTTAAGGCTGCAGCCACACGAGGACGATAACGGAAACGAACCAAAATCGCTATCAAAAAAGTCTTCCGTCCACACGCAACAGGCACCAGAAAGCTCGAAAGCGCTGGAGACGCTGTAGTACATATGCCGGGCCTGTAAGTGGCGCTGTACTTCTGCCACAAAATACACCAAAAGCAGCGAAGAAGACTTCTCGCGCATGCATGGTTGCTCTTCTGTTTATTCTCCGTGCTGGATTTAGCAGCAGAGGTGGGGTTTCGCCAGTCAACACGGAGGACGGAGCCTCTCTTTTCCTCCCCCTCCCCTGACAGCCCGTCAGTATCCGTGGTCTCATGCAGCAGCTGATCCAGTAATGAGTGACCCGACAGTCAAAATAAACATATGTATAACTAGTTTAGGTAGTTTGAGAGGTCATTAAAATAGCTAAGGGTGATGATCTAACTTGAAGTGTGTGTTTTGTTCTGCTCATCGCTCCATCACAGCGGGCGGAGCTGCAGGTGATCATGCAGAGCTGCGTGTCTCCTCTCCTGTCCGATTACACTTCACTCGCGTTTATGTCCATATCGATCAAATCTAGCTGGAAGCTCCTGCTGGGTGCACTGTCCTGCGAGATACCGGGACCTGGCTCGAAACACTGGGGCTATTGCGTCATCGTTATCAGGAAATGATCGTTGTAGGGCGTACACACGGAGCCGTTTTCAGAGCGTTTCGTCCGCAGATCTACCCACCTTGGGACCCGTTATCGTTTTCTGCGTTCCCCTCTCGGCCTTGTGTGGCCGAACCGTCTATCTGATAGAGATACGTAGCGGATACGACCGTTATCGTCCTCGTGTGGCTGCAGCTTCAATCACACACACCACGCTTGAGATGTAAGATGTACACTCTGATAGATCACATATTAAACAGTGTTAATGCAGACAGACTTTAACATATAGAGGGTGAAAGACCACCATCTCTATCCCCTCACTTCCTCTTTAAAGCAGCCCGATTCACCAGAAAACACACGAGTCACACGTCGAGATTTTTTTTTTATCTAGAAGTAACTAAAGCTTCTGATGAATCATGGTCAGAGAGCCAGGAAAACACACTGAGTCAGAGTCATCACACACACACACACACACACACATTCCAGTTAATTATGTCCTATGGTCCAGTAAAGCTTTGGCCAGCAGTCACGTAGGTTAAATCAACAACAAAGGCCTCTATTGTGGGACACACACACACACACACACACACACACACACACACACACACACACACACACACACACACACACACACACACACACACACACACACACACACACACACACACACACACACACACACACACACACACACACACACACACACACACACACACACACACACACACACACACACACACACACACACACACACACAAACTAGGCCACTCACTAACAGTATTAAGGCCCGAGGCAAACACAGCATCAGTCTTTCAGTTTCTATTATTGCCGACGGACAGACTCTAACTCCAAACAGGAAATCATTAACCCTCTGACAGGAAGTAGTAAATTGTCGTACTTTATGGCAAATATTCAGAAATCATAATATGACCTAAATGTTGCTCAGAGGCACTTCAGCGGTGTGTGTGTGTGATCTCAAGCTGCATGGAGGTAAACACTCTCCTCCCCAAGATCTCAGGCTGAGTGAGGCAAATTCACCTTTTATGGACATGAGGCCCACACACACACACACACACACACACACACACACACACACACACACACACACACACACACACACACACACACACACACACACACACACACACACACACACACACACACACACACACACACACACACACACACACACACACACACACACACACACACACACACACACACACACACACACACACACACACACACACACACTTTTTGTTAAGCACTTCCTAACGCTAACCCTTCATCAAGAGGACATGGATGTGTTGAAGTCCACCTGATCGAACCTATGATGTGTTTATGGTGTATTTCTACCCGTATTTCTTCATATTGCAATATATACAAATAGCAGACATTTCCTAACGATGATGTCAGTGTTTATGCACATGCTTTTGGTTAAAATGTATTTTTTACAAGGCTTTTTAAGGATCATTTTCCTGAGTGTAAAGAGTTGAACATCCTGTCATCAAACACTTTTAATTATCCATCAGATTTGATAAAACAAGCTGCAGAATTAGTTGTATTTTTACAAGTTTAAATCTCTCGTATTTGTTTTATCGCATTACACCAAAACACTTTTACCCATAGAAGATTATGGTTGAGGCCTTGGTGTGTGTGTGTGTGTGTGTGTGTGTGTGTGTGTGTGTGTGTGTGTGTGTGTGTGTTGGAAGGGGGAAGGGCATCATGGTTTGTTTGTTTCTTATTTTCAGGCTGAGGTCACCCACAGAATACCAAGCAGAGACACACACACACACAATCACACACACCCGCACAATCACACGCAGACACACACTCTTCTTTGGGTAGCATGTTCCTCTTCTGTGAACCAGATATATATATTTTAGTCTCCAGTGCTGGAGGAAGTATTCTGATTGGTCACTGCAGTAAACGTACTAACACCACGCTGTGAAGATACTTCTACCTTTATCCACTAATTGATTAATCAAAAGAGCTGTGCATTTATAACAAGAATCATTAAGTTCCTCTTCATGAGTGTATGTGCAGATTCTCTAAAGCTATAATATGAAATATAGGGCAGGGGTGTCCACCTGTTTTCACTGAGGGCCACATACACAAAGATATACCAAGAGGTATATTGCTTCATAAGTTAATGTTAACCTGTTAAGCCCTGAGCCTGTTTTTCAGGTCTCAGGCTCGAAAATGACATTCCCAGAACAAATGACCATATCTTCCCTTCTAAAAGGGTTAAATTAATAATCTTTTTTCTCAAAGTAATGATAAACCTGTGAGTTGGATGTAGAAAAGTCAGAATCAATATAGATGTTTTTTATTTTAAAGAAAATTCAGATTTTACATAGTAAAAAACTGTAAATTATAGTGTCCGTCCAAAAATTCTTTTTTACTTATAGTGAAAACTACCCTTGGATGATGGGTTAGTAGACTAAAAGCTTTAGGAATCCAAAGTACAACATATAATAAGTACCCTGTATCAAGATTGATGCAAAACAAGTGACATTTGACCTTTTTAGAGAGATTTAGCAAAAAGAAACCACTTCTGGGGTCATTTGGGTGGATTTTCCATATCTCTGGCCCCCTTGCTCGATTTTGATGGTTGACACCTCTTTCTGACCGTTAGAGCCAATAGAATCGAAGGGGGAGTCCCCCACACACACTCATTGTGAAAAGAAAAGGTGAGGGCTTCGCGCATGCAGTTTTGCATTAGAGTGAAGCTACAGTT